CAACTTTACCCTTCATGATGGGGAGTTAGAAGGAGTTGGGAGGGAGGGATAGTTAGGTAGAAGGATAGGGGAAGGTCATCAGTGAGGCCTGAGGACACAGGTGAGAGAAGGAAAGAGAAGAAAAGAAAAATAAAGAAGAAATACAAATTAGGGCCACAAAGGGAGATGAAGAACCATGTGGGACAGCAAGGGAGTGAGGCAGAGACAGGGAGAAGGAAAAGAGAAAAGAAAGGAAAAAAATAAAAATTTTAAAAGAGTATCAAAGAAAAAAAATTAATGAATGTCATTATATTGTATACCTAAAATGTACCAATGATTAGAATGAATAATTGATAATCCAAAATAAGAAGAAAAGGTCCAAAGGGGTAGGGGCAGTAGGAGGAGCAGGATAAAGGAAAGAAGGGAAAGGAAAAATGATGAGAAGTGGAAAAAATGGAAATAAAGTCTTTGTAAATAGGGAAGAGTGGAGGGGGTGAAGGGAGGGCTAGGAATGGGGAAAAAAAATAAGACCCAAGACGCATCATGTAAAGGTACAAGTTCCTAATGAGAAATGTAAATTTGTATTAGTTTAAATTCCCATATATTCTTTCTGATAACCATTCTGACAGGGGTGAGATGGATTCTCAAAGAACTAGGACTGGAAGTCCCATTTGACCCTGCTATTCCACTGCTGAGGATCTTCCCCAAAGAATTAAATGAATCATACCACAGTGATATATGTGCACCTGTGTTCATAGCAGCAGAGTTTGTGATAGCTAAAACTTGGAAACAGCCCAAATGCCCATCAACTGGAGACTGGATAAAGAAAAGGTGTTTTTTTTTTTAATATATATATAAAATGGAGTACTACTCAGCCATAACAAATGAGAAATTAGAGACATTTATAGCTAAGTGGGTCCACATTGAGGCGATACTCAAACCAGTCACAGACCTGTGAGATTCAGGCAGATTTCTGGCTGCAAGTCCAAAGTTGAGCTCCCTGTCCTCCTGCAGGGATGAACCATGGAAGGTTCTACCGCAGGTTCCAGATGCCTTTCCCCTGAAGATAGTCCAGGTTCCGATGGGAGGTGATGATCCCTCCAACTTACCAAGCATGGTGGTCTGGTGTGCCTTTATTGCAGAGGTTCTCTTCACTTTCTAGTGGGCTTCAGTTTTCATCAGGGAGCCTGAGAGAGGCCCTCTCTCTGTTGTTCACTTCTGCAGCTCAGGACAATGGCCTTTATGCTTCCTTGTGCCTCTGTGGTGTGGATCCAAGTAGCTGGACAGCCAGCGGGGTGCGCTATTGCTGCAGGGGCCCACGCGGCCAAGCTGGAGGCTGGTGGGTGTTCCTGGCGGTCTTCACTGGCTTGGTCTCCTGCTTGGTCTCCTTGCTCTCCTGGTCGAAAGTGGGCAGAGCAAGACAGACTGAGCGGGGTTCACTCAGGCCCGGTGCACCTAACTTTATTTTTAAGAAAATATAAAAGAAGACAAATACATGGAGAATCATGCCATGTTTATATTTGGTCCTGTTCAATATCATGGAGATAAAAATTTCTTCATATAAACTAATCTATAAATTTGATGAAAGTTCCCCCCCAAATTTTTGAAATTATTAGAAAAAAATTATTAAAATTATTGGAAAGTGGTGTTAAAACTGATTATAAAGCTAAGTCCATGTAATAAAGAAATAAAAACAAAACAAAAAAAGGAAGAAGTTTTTTTCTCATGTGATATCGACATCTGTAATGCAATAGTAATGTATTCTGTATGATTGGATTATTGAAAAGGGCAAATAGTAATGAAGCAAAACCGAAAAATAAAAATATAAAACCATAAGTCTAAGTAGAACAATAATGTATTTGTAAATAGGACAATAAATATTTCCTTGAAAAACACAGGAAAGGAAAAATAGATAAACCAGAGGGGATAAAACAAAACAACACTTGTGTTCAACAAAAGACAATGTAATTAAAAATGCAAATGGAGGAAGAATATTATGAGGATTATAATCTGTGTGTAATTACATTCTATCACTTAGTAAGAAAAAAATACAAATTCCCAAACAGAAAATAAAACTAATGATACAGTACACAGGCCAATTTTTTTTTTTTTTTTGGTGATACACAGTGCAAATTTATTGATATTTCCAGCTTCACAATTCTATAGCCTGGAGTTCTGAAATCAGTATTCATGAGGTCTCTCATTCCAGTTATAGACTACCATTTACTCACTTTACTCTCACATGGAAGAAAAAGCAAATCACAGAATTAAATACTCAGAAGATTACTATGTATGTGACATAGGGTTTAGCAACTACAAATTCAATAAAGTAGAATGAAGATAAAATTTCAACTTAAATTTTTTCATAAAGTTAGAGTTTGGGAATATCAAGTGTTAGTGAATTTGTTAGTGAAATAGCACCCATCTGCTGCTGATAGGAGTAAATTTAACTAAGCAATTTGGTAATGTACATTTGAATATAAATTATGTGCTACATATTACCAACTAATTTCACTTTTGAGAATATCTTGCAAATGAGAATAAGAATGAATTTACCAAAAAGGCTATTGTTGTATTATTTATAATAGTGAAAAGCCATAAAGACTAAATTTCCATCAAAATTGAATTAATGGCTATATCTTTAATTTATAATAGTGGCTGAATCTGAGAGACTGTTAGGAGTGGAGAATGGCAGAATGATTTGGTAATTGTGATTAAATGTGAAATTAACTTGCTCTATGTAGTATTTTTTTTTTAAAGAAAATGACAATTATTTTCACAAAAAACATCACAGCAAGAGTAGATAAGTGTTAGTTTGGGGTAATGGAATTGCTATGTTATTAAGTTTTGTCTGTATTTTAAAATTCCTTGAGATCTATTTTAAAACAACAATGGAAGTGATGGAGGAAGGAAAGATGGGAAAGATGAAAAGAAAATAATCTAGAAAAATTTTTTAATTTTTGAAGTATACACTACATCTTTCAGAAGGGCTGATACATATCCATTTTTGTTTAAATGTAGTATGTATGCATTTATTTAAATTCACACTTGGTATACTATCTTGTGCTTTCTTTTTCTGTGAACAACTTTGATTTTTCTCTTTACAAAATATTCAGTACTTGGTACCCATCTCTGTTGTATAATGATGAACTCAGCTTTGTTAAATGTATTAGAAATGGTAGTAAATACTAGCATAGCTTACATAACTTGTTCTTCCTTCAAAAATAGCTGAAGCCTAATTGCAAAAAAAATGTACTTATATGGGATAAGAATCAATTATGCTTCATATTTAAAGGTATGATTATAGGAAATCATTATTCCATTAATATTATAGCAAAACTAATTAATTGGTTTATAAATATTTAATTTTCTAATTCTACTTGCATAATTCCAGTTAGAACAGTCAAATAGTACACCCTACACTGATGCTGTATCCTCACTCTTTTATGTCAAAAAGCTGTGAAAAATTCAAAATTTCATTTTAGTATAGACATTCAGATACATGGGCTCGATATTTTACATTTGATCTACTTCTAGTTACTTTTACAATTTGGACTATACTTTGTGAGTGTCATACTTCTTCTATGTCCTGGGCTCATTTATAAAGTGATTTCAATGTAAGTTACCGTAATGGGAAATGACAGAAAATGAGAGAGAGAGAGAGAGAGAGAGCCCAACCAGGTTGTTTGCTTCCAGGGTCCTTCCCTGCCAGGCTGACAGGTGGTGGTTGCTGTATTCTTTCTTACAATCCCACATCACGTTTTAGAATCTAGCAATGGTAACAATGGTGTTCAATTGTTGTAAATCTATGATATCTCTCCATTGTTTGATTTTTGATCCTTTACTAAACTCTCTTCATTCACTGCAGGGAATTAGCTCTTGCCAGTGTCTTAAACAAAACAACCCACATGGATGACATGCTATATGTAGGAAACTTCTAGGATCTTTAAACATTTTTTATCTCATTTAATTATTTTTAGCTTTACCTTGGACCATCTAACTGTATATCTGTTACAGAGTTAAGGCTCAGATGACATAACTAAGGAATATAATAACTTGCTTTTAACCCACTTGGACCCTTCTTTAAAACTTTCTGCTACATCAAACCACTGAGTAGGTAAAACCACCACATATATACAACTTAATGTAGATAAAATTCGCAATATAAAACCTAATATATATTCTTCAGAGCATCTATCCTTTAGTCAGTTACCTTAAGATTGTTTTGTAGATAAATCTATTATTTTTTTTGCTCCCCACACTGGGAACATTTTCATATTCCATTTTCATCTTTCAGAGATTTTAAATAGTTGTGATCTTCTCACTTTTCTGATAGCTATAACTTCACAAACTGCTCTTTCATATCACACTATTCGCTGATACTCTTTCTGCCCCTCATCTTCTTTGCTAATTTCGATTCCTCCATTACCCAATCTTTCTTCCTTTCTGTCCAGTAAATGGTAGTATAAATCTAATCTCACTTGGTTGATAGCGAGGCTTCTTTGGGATGAGAGGTCGTTCACTTATGACTGATGATGGTGTCTCAAGAATATTCAGGCCGACACACTGTGACCTTCCTTTGATTTTTCAGGGCTGCTTCAGTAATAATTCCACAAGACATGTCAGAGTACACTGCAGATACACCTGTCTAATCTCCAGCACCTTGTTTCTGTCCCGTAATGAACAGAAATTCTCTATTTTGGGTAATTGCCCATAAAGGCCAGGGAGGCATTTGATCAGTACATCCATAGTCACTGTCGCAGCACAGTATTGCAGAGTACTTTTTCTTCCCTTCAAATCCTTCTGGCACTGGAAGAAGGATAAACTTGAACTTAATAGGACAGTAATTGAACAAAATATATTTCCTCAAGTAGTTTCACCTAGGAACGTACCATTTTTATATGACTGTTCAGATTTTACTAGCTATGGATTATTAAGTGAGATAATTCTCTTGTAGTCGAAGAAAACCAACCTTCAAATACAGGAAAATAAACATGGATCCAAGTTTGCTTATGTTATGTGCATAAGTAGTAGAACTCCTTTGCTTATAATTTATTCATCTGTAAAAACTGCTCTGGAAATCTGTGAAACTGCTCTGGAAATCTGTAAAATCGCTCTGGAAATCTGTAAAATCGCTCTGGAAATTATACTCACCAGACCCAATGCTAGTGTTGATAATAAAGAAAGAAGACAAAAAGTAAATAAAGTACCTGCCTACAAGGTGAAACAGTCAATAAAAAACAAGTAATTATAAAATATGGTGTTGCTTCAGTCTTCCAGAGAACCATAAAATGGGTTATAAAGTGGATAAAGAGTGTTCGATAGAAGGGTGGGATGCTCTCATTTCAAGTAAGCAAGTCCTCTGTGCTGGGTGACATTTGATAATGTATTTGTTTCCTATCAGTGTCACAACAAATTATAACACACTGTCCAGCTTATAAGAAACAAGTCTATTCTTTTACAATTCTGGAGGTCAGAAGTCCTCAGATGAGTTAGCAGGCTCTAGTGGAGAACGAGATTCCTTCCCTTTTCTACCTTCTAGAGACTACTTGCATGCCTTTGCTCATGGATCCATCATCCATTTTTCAAACCCAGTGGAACTGTGCCTTCCAATCTCTCTTTCTACCTCTGCTTCTGTTGTCATGTAGCCTTCTCTGACCTTCCTGCCTCTGCTGAGAACTCTTTTGATTACACTCTACTCACTAGGATAACCCTGGATAATCTCCTCATCACAAATTCTTTATTCTAGTCATTTCTCTCAAGTCCTTTTTACCATATACATCAGGTTATTCCTAGGTTCTGAGGATTAAAATTGGGCACCTTTGCGGGAGCTGAAAAAAGTGAAAGGGGGTTTTCTGTTTTTGTTTTTGTTTTTAATTTTACCACAAATGATGACCTGAAAATGTAAAGGAATTAGCCTAAAACTGTCTGCTGAAGTACATTCCAATCTGAGAGAACAATAAGGCAGACACAAAGGTAAGAGTACACTTAGAATTTAAGGAAGAAATAGCTCTTTGGTACTCCTAGACAATAATGAGTAAGAGAGACTGATAGGAGTATCATGAGGGCAGTGCAATGGATTGGATGGCAAATAATGCAGGGACTTAAAGAGATTTACTCTGAGGTATATCAGGTAGTTTTAAGCAGATAAATGATGTGCTTTTACATGGCTTACAGTCCTCTATTTATTGCACAGTGGATCACTTTGGTGCAGAAGAAGAAACAGGATGAGTAGTCTGAAGGTTGTTGGAGTACTTCAGGGGAAAGATAATAGGTTTTATCATTGAGGGCATCATACTAGTAGGGAAAACCAAAAGTGCCCATAGTCTAAAAATATTTTGTAGAGACAGAATTGGTGACAACACACTGAAATAAAAACTATAACAAAAACAGTAT